GCGGAGTACGTGCACGCACGCCATCGAGCGGGACATCCGCGGGTCGCCCCAGTAGCTTGTAAAAGCAGCCGGGAGGTCGCGAGGCGCGGGTCCACCGAAATGCAAGCGGCTAATGCTGAATATTATATCTATTGTGTATATCCCTAAAGCCTTCCCTAGGCCGACGGACCAGCGCGGACTGGGGCGGTGCTGCCCGCTCTTCCGAGGCGCTGGGCCCGGCGCCCGGGCCAATGGTCGATCTCTGGTGAGGTAGCGCGCGGCCGTGCTCCTGGGCGGTCCTCGCTCCGGGGCGTCGCCCTCCGGCGGGGCAGCGCCGCCACCATGGAGGCCGACGGCGGGCAGGTCGAGGAGAAGGCCATGGAGCCCGAGGAGGTGGACGGCGCCCTGGTCGGCGGATCCGAGGGCGCGGCGGGCTCGTCGCGGCAGCAGACGCCGCCGTCGACGCCGGAGCGCAGCGCCCGGTCCGCGGCCTACGAGGCGGGCCGGAGAGACTTCGGGCCGTCGCGCGGCAGCATGGACTCGGCCGAGTCCGGCGACGAGGGCCGCGGCCGGCCGAGCGGCATCTCGCCCCTGCCCGGGGAGCGGCCGAGCCTGAGCCGCGCCGGCGGGGGGTCGCGGCGCCACGCGAAGCTCAAGAGCAGCAGCTTGCCCTTCGACACGTTCTTCGCGCTGTTCCGCGTCGACGGCGAGCACTGCAGCGGCGAGACGCTCGAGCGGCTGCGCTGGGTGCTGGCGTCGCTCACGGAGCGCGCCTACCAGCCCGGCGAGGTCGTCCAGCGCGAGGGCGACGCCGCGACGCCCGCGGAGATGCTCGTGTTCACGCGGGGGACCGTCGAGGTCGAGTGCGCGCCGCGGCGGTCGTCGCGGAGCGCGGCGCCCGCCGACGCGCCGGCGGCCGCGGGTTCTCTGGAAGCCGACGGCGACGCCGCCGACGCGCCGGCGCCGGCGCCGGCGGCGGGCGAGGAAAAAGGGAGGCCGTCGCGGCGGTCGCGCGACGACCGGAGCACCGCGGTGCTGTCCGCGCCCTTCTTCGTGGGCGAGGAGCGCGTGCTCCGCGGCAGCTGGCCGACGGCGACGTACCGCGTCGCCGGCGACGCCGGGACCTGCAGCGCGTTCGTCCTGACGGAGGAGAACCTGAACGCGTTGGTCGCGACGGGCGGCTTCGACCTCGAGCGCACGCTGCGGCTGCGGGCCTTCGAGCGCACCATCGCCAAGCACGGCATGCACACGTCGGTGCTGCGGGACGCCGTCTTCGTGGACCACATGATGTCCTACCTCGCGCGGAGCTCGGAGGCGGAGAACCTCCGGTTCCTCGTGGACCTCATGCAGTTCAAGCGCGACTTCGACGCGCGCGGCGGCTTCACGGAGCGGCACCGGCGCTTCGAGGCCATCTGGGACGCCTACATGCGGCCCTGGGACACGATGGCGAACGTGTCGGCCATCGACTGCGAGCCCGCGCTGCTCGAGACGGTCGTCGCCGCGCGCGACGCGGCCGTCGCGCAGCGACACTCGCGGCGCCTCATGACCGTGCTGGACCCCGTCGCGCTCCGCGTGAAGCGCGACCTCGACCGGGCGGCGCTCCCGGCCTTCGTCGACAGCCGCTTCTACGACGCGTTCATCCGCGAGCGGTTCCCGTTGAACCCCGACGCGGCCGCCAAGGGCCTCCGCGAGTCGAAGCAGGCCGGCGGCCAGCGCAAGCAGGGCTCCAACGGCGGCGCCGCGGGGCCCAAGGCGTCCTTCAAGGGCGGCCTCCTGCGGCGCATGTCCGTCGGCGCGCCGCTGGGGCTCGGCGGCCGGCCGTCGGTGACGCGGCAGTCGCCGGACAAGCGGTCGACGCCGAACCGCGGCACCATGCGGTCGACGCTCAACGCGGGCCGGGGCAACGCGTCGCTGCAGCGGCCCGCGGGCGGCGGCGGCGACGGCGACGGCGACGCGGGCAACGCCGCGCGGCTCAACCTCCGGGAGAAGCTCGCGAACATGACGTCGGAGCTCGAGGAGATCGAGCGCCGCGACTCCATCCAGTCCCTCGACGAGGCCCGGGCGAAGCTGAGTCGCGGCGGCTCCCAGGGCGGCAAGCGGACGACGGAGCACGCGGCGCTCGCCGCGAGCCTCGTGTCCGGCGGCGTCGCGGCGCGCGAGCCGCCGAAGTCGGGGGCCTGTGTTATAAGCTGAGGTGCGGTCTTCGGTTCGGTCGTCTTCCTCACGCGGCCTCGGGCAGGGGCTCGACGCGGGGCTTGAGCACGCGCACGCGGACCTTGTCGCCCGGCTCGAACTCCGGCGGCAGCACGAAGGACACGTCGCCGAGGTCGCCCGCGCCCACCGTGAGCGCGTCGCCGGCCTCCGCGCCGCGCAGGAGCGCCTCGTCGACGTCGCAGTCGCCCTCGGGCAGCGAGAAGGCGCCGTGGGGCCGCGCGCCGAGCACGTAGCGCGTGACCTTGGACCGCTTGCTCGTCTTGAGCTGCGAGAGCCGCGGGTCGTGCGCGTTCGAGAAGAGCTCGATGCCCTCCGCGACGTCCCAGGCGCCGTCGCCGCCGCGGCGCAGGGCCGTCGTCGCCGTGTACTGGATCGGCGGGCCCGCCCAGTGGCCGCGCTTGATCGCCGCGTAGGTCGGCAGCGGCTCGCCGCCGGGCTCCGGGCAGAGCGCGCGGACCATCTCCGCCGAGGGCCGGCCGTGCGTGACGAGGAGCGCCGTGCCCCGCTCGCGCACCAGGGGGTGGTCCGCCAGCTCGAGCGCGATCGTCGCCACGCGCTCCTCCGTGCAGCCGACCTCGACGCAGCCGCCCGGGTAGGCCGGGCCGCGCTCGAACCGGACGTCGCGCAGGGGCTTGTACTTGAGGTCGACGCGCGGCGACACGCACATGAGGTCCGCGGGGTTGAGGTACCACGGCTCGCGGCAGGCGAGGTGCGACATGTAGGCCATGTCCTCGCAGAGCCCCGGCTCGATGCAGATGCGCGTCGCCGACGATGCGTGGAGGCCGTCGCGCTGCAGGCCCTCGAGCTGCTCCGCGATGGCGTTCGCCGTCTGGACGCAGCGGATGAACGGGCTGCAAAAGATGGCCGTCGGCTGGTGCACGGGCAGCCGGCCGTAGAGCCACTTGCCGAGGCGCGCGGCCTGGCGCACGCCGCGCTGCGAGAGCGGCGTGTCCTGCGGGCGGAGGGCGAGGTCGCTCCACTCCGGTTGCTGGCGGTCGAGGCGCTCGGCGTGGCGGATGATGAAGAGCATCTCGGCGCCCGGTGCACCGGTGGAGTAGCGGCGCAGGCCACCCAGCGTCGTCTGCTGCAGGCGGAGCATGGCGATTGCCGAGGATAGATTACGAGGACGATGCGAGCTCGATGTTGGGTTGCAACTGGACGACGACGCTCTATCGATGACAAGGCCAGAACTCGAGAATTTTGTCTCAAGGGTCAACATCGGAAGGTGCCTTTTTCAACGAGGATGGTACTTGAGGGGGGTCGGTGGCGCCCTCGGCGCCCTCGGCGCCCTCGGGACGAGGGCGCCGCCCCCTCGGCCGACGCCCTCGGCTGAGGGATTTTCCCCTCGTCCGAGGGAGCCGAGCGTCCGAGGGTCCGAAAGGGCCGAGGGCGCCGAGGGCGCCGACGGCCGCTGATTGGCCAAGGCACGCCCGGCCGATCAGCAGCCCTTCGGCCATCCGTCGTTTTAAGGTTATGAGGGGGGGCGGCAGCCCAAAGGCGCAGCCCTTGGGCGTCCCTGGGCGCGCCGTGGGTGCCGGCATTGACGCCCACGGTCGCGACGGTCCCCGAGACGGGGCGCAGCCAAGAGCGGCGGCCGTGCGGCGCTTTCCCCTCGCGGCGCCGTGGGCTGCCTACACGTCGGCGCGGGCACGAGGTCCTGTCGGTCCTAGGCCGCGCAGTCGCCCCAGTCGATGATGGAGCGTGGCCCGGGGGCGGCCAGGGATGATCTCTCCTGGCTGCTGACGCTGGTGCTGCCGTGGATCATCACGGAGTCTCCGTCGGACCGCCGCGGCGCCCGAGCCCCGACCGGACGAACTCGACGATTTCGAGTCTCACGACCCAGCCCTTGTACCGAGACGACGCCTGGGTGACGACGAACGATTCCCGATGCTGCAGTGACTCGAAACGAGTCGATGGGTTGGGAGGCGTCGAGCGCGCCCCACCCGAGCCTCTGAGAATCGCCCGCCTGTTCCCCGACGCCATCGCCTGGACGTCCCGTTTTCACCGGCGCGTCGTCCGTCAGGATGCGGCCCATGCAGCCACTGAGATCGTTGCGCATCTCCGCGTATTCGCTGAGCGGCGCGGGTGCAAAGCCTGTCATCAATCATGCAGCCCGGACATCCAGCGCCCGGGGGTCACCAACGGTTCGCCGCCCTCGTCCGATGGACGTGCGCTCGTCCGACGGCCGTGCGCTCGTCCGACGGCCGAGTCCTCGTCCGAGGGCGCCGATCCGCCGTCCGAGGGTCCGAGGGCGTCGGCCGAGGGGGCGGCGCCCTCGTCCCGAGGGCGGCGAGGGCGCCGAGGGCGCCACTGACCCCCCTCAAGATGGTACAGGACGTACCAAGGCGGCATATAGCGCGAATCTCGCGTCGGATGATGGACCTCGCGGAGCCATCTCATTTAGACCACCTCCGAGTCGACGCCACGCGTCGTCGCGGTCGCCGGCCCGGCCCGGGGCCGCGTCCGAGTCCGAGTCCGACTCGGAGTCCGCCCCGGGCGGCGCCGCCGCGCGGCGGCCGCCAATGCGGGGCCACGCCGGTGGCGACAACCACGGCGAGACCCGCACGCGACACGACCGCCGCGCACCCGTCGTGCGGCGGCGCTGGCGGGTTCGGCCGGGTATATCCCCGCGGAGCCTCGAAGGCAAGTTGCGGTGCTCATGCACACGAGTCACTACGGTTGCAATTGCCACACCTGGGCGCCACTCTGAGATGGCTGCAAAGATCCGAGCGGGCCACTGTGAGCAGACCATCTCGAAAGGCCGCATGTGGCTCCTCGCGCTCATCGTCGTACAGAATGCGAATGCCATGTCGGCGAGCGGCGTGCGGACGTCCCTGGCGCCGAACGGCGTCGTCCAAGTCGAGCTCGACCGCGGCGGCAAGCTCAACGCGCTGAACCGGCCCATGTGGGAGGCCATCGCGGACGCCGTCGAGACGTCGCCGGACGCGCCGCTCGTCATCACGAGCGCCGATCCCAAGGCGTTCAGCGCCGGCGGCGACGTGACGGCGATCGCCGGCGGTCCCCCGAAGGACGTCGTCGACTTCCTCCACCTCGAGTACGCGACGCTGGACGCGCTCCGCGAGCGGCGGAACACGATCGCCGTGAGCGACGGCATCGTCATGGGCGCCGGCGCGGGCGTCTTCATGGCCTGCGCGACGCGCGTCGTCACGGAGCGCGCGCGCTTCGCGATGCCAGAGGTCAGGATCGCGCTCGTGCCCGACGCGGGCGCGCTCCGCTTCCTGTCCAAGCACTGCGAGCCCGCCGTGGCGCGCTTCCTCGCCGTGACGGGCTACAATCTGAACGCGCACGACCTGGTCGCGTGCGGCCTCGCGACGCATTTCGTCGCCGCGAAAAAAGAACAACTCGCTCCGCTGCTCGAGGAGCTCGCCGCGGCGCCGGCGGGCGAGCTCGCCGTGCCCGTGGACCGGCGCTGCGTCGGCCAGGCGCCGGCGCACCTCGCGACGCCGCTCTTCGTCGAGGCGAGCCTCGCGGCGCTGCGGTCCGTCTTCGGCGGGGAACGGTGCGCGGACGTCGCCGCGATCGACGAAAAGCTCGCCGCCGCGCGGCTCGAGGCGCGCGGGCTCCTCGGGTCCGTGGGCTGGCAGACGCGCGAGATCGCCGAGCAGGTGCTCGATTTGTTGGACGTGGCGCACGCCGCGCTCGCCGCGGCGCCGCCGCGCGCGCTCCAGGCGACGCTCGACGCGCTCGACGCGGTCCTCGCGGAAGCCCGGACCTCCGACGACGACGTCGCCCTCGCGCGCTTCGGCGCCAAGGTGGAGCTGGCGGCCAACGCGGTCCTGGGCACGGCGCCGGACTTCGCCGAGGGCGTCGCCTGCGTCGTCGGCGACCGCCGCGGCGAGGCGCCCGCGTGGGCGCCGCGCGACCCCGCGCCCGTGCGCGCGGCGCTCCTCGACCTGGGCGCGTCGCTCGACGACGTCCGCGACGCGGCGCTCGCGAAGCTGTAAATCGCTAGTTGTAGACGATCCGCGTCCTGTTGAGCGCGTCGGCCTTGGGGCCGTAGGTGCCGGCGACGTAGGGGTTCGACGCGCAGCTCCCGAGGCCCTTGGGCAGCTTCGCGCCCTTCTTGGCGGGCGCGGCGGACGTCTCGCTGAGCAGCGCGGGCACGCCGACGTCGCCGCGCGAGAGGAGCGCGGCGCACTTCTCCGGGCCGACGAGCTGGACGACGAGCCGGAGCGTCTTCAAACGCTCCTCCTCGACGGCGTCGACGTCCGCGCGGAGCTTTTTGGCGTCGTCGACGGCGTCGCCCGCGCGCTTCTCCGAGAGCGCCGCGAGCTGCGCGTTCTTCTCATTTTGCGCGTCGAGGGCCTTCCGCAGCGCGACGAGCTCGCGCTGGAGGTCGTCGACGCTCTTCTCGTCGGCCGCGGCGCCGTCGTCGCCGCCGTCGTCGTCGTCGTCGTCGTCGAAGACGTCCGCGACGGGCGGCTCGGGGCTCCGGGCCGCCGACGGCGCGCGGGGCCGCGCGGCGGACGGCGCGCGCGACCGCGTCGCCGACGACCGCACGGACGACCGCTTCGCCGGCGGGGGCGTCGCCGCGGGCGGCGCGGGCGCGGGCGCGGGCGGCGCGGGCGGCGCCGCGGCGGCCTTGACGGCCGTCGGCGGGCCGGGCGGCGCTGCGGCGGGCGGCGGCGGCGCGCGCGAGCCGATGGCCGGCGGCGGCCGCCCGGCCGCGGGCTTGGCCGAGATCGCGGGCTTCTCCCTCGGCGTCGGCGGCGGCGCGGCCGCGGGCGCCTTGGGCGTCTCCGGCGGCGGCGCCTCCTCCTCCTCGTCGGACCAGCCGCTGTCGTCGTCGTCGTCGTCGTTGGGCCGGCTCCCGGACCCGGCGCTCGACGGCGTCTTCTGCTTCTGGGCCATCTGGTCGAGCATCGACATGTTGAAGCCGCCGCCGGAGTCCGGGCTCTTGGGCGTCGACGGCGCGGGCGCGGGCGGCGCCGCCGGGGGCGCGCTCGCCTTGGCGGCCTCGCGCTTCGCCTTGGCCGCGCGGATCTGCGCCATCAGGTCGCCGCCGCCGCCGTCGTCCGCCGGCGGGGGGTCCGCGAGCTCTTTCTTCTCCGTGGCCTTGGGCGTCTTCTTGAGCTGCTTCCCGGCCTTGATGTCGTCGAGGAAGCCCATGGTCGAAGGGGCGGCGGCGAGCGCGCCTCGAGCCGCGTGTCCTCTTCTACGCTGCAGCTACCGCGCGGGTCGTCGTCCGCCTATCGTGAGGCTGCCAAGACTGTTTCTTTTAGCGCCGCAGATTGTTGCCGTGCAACAAGCTGTGACACACGATGGTGGTGATCAGAAAGGGCTCCCCATAAACAAGCGCAGCACCTCCGTCGATCGAGCTCTTCTTCGGCGGCGCGACGCGAACACAAAAAAGAGAGATGCACGCGGCGCACCGCGTGCCGCTGGAGCCCGGGTCGCCGCGGAGCATCATCGACGAGGGCGAGGCCTACACCGTGCGCGGCAAGAACGGCGTCAAGGTGCGCCAGGACGTGGGCAAGGGCTCGGCCCAGCTCTGCGACCTGCGCGAGGGCACGGAGGTGCGCGTCCTGGAGACGCACACGCTCGAGGACGGCACGGAGCGCGCGCGGATCACCGCGCTCGAGGCCGGCGTCGTGAGCGGATGGTGCACGCTCCGCATGCTCCGGAAGCGCGAGAAGAAGGCGCGCACGCCCCTCGGCACGCTGGGCCACCCGCTGCGCCGGGAGCGGGAGGAGCCCGAGGCGGACCTCACGGCGCTGCCGCCGCGGCTCAATCTCGCGCGCATGCACGACGTCATCGAGGAGCCGCTCCGCGACCCGTACCCGGAGAACGCGCAGGTGACCTGGACCTGCACCTTCAACGGGCGCCTCGAGGCCTTCTTCGAGACGCTGACGTCCTTCCTGCGGGAGCTCGAGCCGCGGTCCATGCGCCACGTGCGCGAGTGGGTCGTCGTCGCGGACAACAGGGCAGCAAAAGGGTGATTCAACGTCGCTTCAACATGAGTGCTCCGCGCGCGCGCGTTTCGGAAACAGCACCCACGCTTCGAGAGCGCTCCGAGAGATGATCGCTCGTCCAAAAATCAGCCGAAACGAGCGGAAAACGGCCGAGATAGGAGCCTTTGAAGTTGGGAATTTCGCACCCTTTTGCTGCCCAGGCGGACAAGGGCGCGTCCGCGGACCACCGCCTGGCCATCGTGCACCGCGCGCCCTGGCTCACGGTCATCGCCAAGGGCCGGTCGCTCCACCGCCACCCGCTGAGCCTGAACATGCTGTGCGAGGGCTTCGTGAAGACGCGGTACTGGTGCCAGTGGGAGGACGACTGGGCCGTGGCCTCCGGGAGCGCGCGCGCGCCGGGCGGCGACCTGCTCCAGCGCGCGCTCGACGTCGCGCGCTGCTCGGGCTGCCACCAGGTGAGCATGAACGGCGCCTTCACGGAGACGTGGCGCGAGCGGAGCACGGAGTACGTGACGTCGAAGCAGCGGACGCCCATGGGCTGCGCCTACGTCGTCACGGAGCTCGCGCCGGCGCACCGGACGCCCATCGTCGCGCGGGACGACCTGCGGCAGCTGACCTTGGAATATTCGAACAAGTTCGGCTACCGCGACGCCTTCGGGAAGCCAGGCGCGCCGTGGCCGCTCTTTTCCCTGCAGCCGTCGCTCCTGGACACGGACTTCATGAAGAACCACGTCTACCCCTTCTCCGAGGACCCGCGGCTCAACCCGGCCCACGCCTACTGGATGTTCGAGATGGAGGCCGCGCTGAAGTTCGTGAAATTCGGCGGCACGAAGGCGTCCATCGACTCGGGCTACGTCGCGCGGCCCCTCGCGGTGGCGAGCTCGTCCCACAACTGGAACCTGGACGGCCTCGGGTAGCCCTAACCGGTGGGGACGACGGCGCGCTAGGCTGGTCGTCGTCGTCAACATTGACCTCAAGGACCTCGGCCGGCCTATGTTGCCTCGGGCTCTCCGCGCGCGGTGAGCTCTTCGCCGGCTGCGCTCGACGCCGCAGAGTGCTCGGACTGCCGCAGAAGATGATGTTCGCGCGCGCCGCGGCGCGACGGCTGCCGCCGACGGCGCGGCGCTTCTCGGAGGCCCCGCAGAAGCTCGACCGCGCGGCGCGGCGCGCGGCGCGGCTCGAGGCCGGCGGCCAGGCCACGGGCGAGGAGACGGGCACGACGGCCGCGCTCTGGGCGTCCGTCGCCGCGTCGACGGCCGTGATCTCCGGCGGCATCTACAGCCTCATGGCCGACCCCGAGGAGAGCGCCCTCGCCAAGGCCGCGCAGTCGAGCGCGCTCGGCGGGTGGGTCGTCGCGAACGTGTCCGAGGCGTCGAAGCCGTTCGTGCAGCCGAGCCGCGAGAAGCTGCTGCCGGACTGGCCGCCGGACTACCTCAACATCTCGCCCGACGTGCCCTGCCCCCACACGCTCGTCCTGGACCTCGACGACACGCTCGTGCGCGCGACGTGGGACCGCCGCTACGGCTGGCGCCACGCGAAGCGGCCGGGCGCGGAGCAGTTCCTCCGCGAGATGGCCAAGTACTACGAGATCGTCATCTTCACGACGAACATCGCCGGCGTCGCGGACCCCGTGGTGCACGCGCTCGACAAGGACGGCTGCGCGATGCACCGGCTCTACCGCGACGCGACGATGTTCGTCCGGGGCACGCACTGCAAGGACCTGTCGAAGCTGAACCGCGACGTGCGCAAGATCGTCGTCGTGGACAAGGACCGCGCGGCCGTCCAGCTCCAGCCGGGCAACGCCATCATCGTCAAGCCCTACACGGACGCGACGGACCGCCTCGACACGGAGCTCGAGGATCTCACGCCGTTCCTGGCCGCGCTCGTCAACGAGAACGTGCGCGACGTGCCCGCGGCGCTGGCCAAGTTCTCCTCCAACGACGCGACGGTCGTCGCGGCGGAGTACGGCGACATGCTCAAGGAGGCGAAGAACAAGACGGACGCGGTCCGCAAGATCGGCCTCGGCGGCTTCGTCCGCGGCCGCGCGCGGCAACCGGAGCCGGACCTCGCCCTCGAGCCCGCGGGCACCATGCTCTCCGCCGCGGGGCTCTCGGCCAAGGACATCGCGGGCGACGCGCCCGAGGCGACGCCGAAGAAGGGCGGCATCTTCGGCTGGTGGGACCGCAAGAACAAGGAGGCGGAGGAGGACCAGAAGAAGAAGATGGAGGCCTGGCAGAAGGTCCTCCAGAAGAAGGAGGCCCAGAAACGACTGGCCGCCGAGGCGCGCGCCGCCGCCTGAGTGTGTGGTCTAACGCGTCCTTACTGCCACGCGCGTCGCCCGCACTGGCGCCGCGCCGGCGGACTTGCCGGCGGCCTGCCCCGGCCCGGGCGAGATGAGCGAGCTGCGTCAAAAGTCTCGTCAGTGTCAGTCTGACGCCACGCGACAACGCCGCGCTGCGAGAGATGCCGAGCGCGTCGGACGTGCTGCGAGTGCTCGTACAGCACGACAGTGTGTGCGAGCTGCGGCGCCTGCCAATCGAGAACGACGCGTGTAAGGCGATGCTGAAAAGTCGCTATTTTCGGGCGGTGCTCAACTTACTCGACTGTGCGAGGCCCATCGACGCTTCGCACCCAGCGAAACCAGTTTGTCAGGGCATACGCGACGAAGTTCTCGCCAGGTTCTTTAACAACGATGACGATCAGAATGTTGACGAGCTCGCGCGGATTCCGCTGAACGATAAGCTCGCGGTCATCCCGTGGCTTTGCGCGTACGGCTACAACGTCATCGGTAATACCGGTCCTCTTCCAGAGCGCTTCGGACCCGAGTCACTTTTTCTCGTCGTTTGGGGGCTATCAGCGGAATATGTTGAGACCAACGACGGGTCGGAGCCCAGCGCGGCCATCGGCTTACAGATTTTTTACGAAAACGTCTGCTCCGCAGCGCTCGAGCAAGGCCGCCCCGTGCTCTACCGCGCGTCCTCGAGCCCGCTCACCGAGACGAACGTGTCAAACGTGAAGTCGGCGCTGCGGGTGGTGCTGCGACACGACGATAGCAATGAACTTCGGCGACTCCGCGAGGAAAACGAGCGACTGAAATCGATGCTTACGAACCGCTATCTGCGCTGCGTTTTGAATCTGCTCGCAGCAAGGGAAATCACGATGACTGAGCAGGGCTTAGTACAGGCAGTGGGAGATGTATTTCTCAGCAGGTACTACGACAGTAACGACGAGGTAAACGAGATCGAACTCGCGAAAGTACCGATTTCCGAGAAGCTCGCGATCATTCCGTCGCTGTGCGCGCTCGGATACTTCGTGATAAGCGGAACGACGAGTCCCCTTCCCGAACCTATCGGTGATCACCATTTTTTGGTGATTTGGTGGAAGAACGGCTCTCCGGGGCCCAACGCGCCGACGGCGGACGAAACGACCCTTTTCGAAAGTCATTGTGCACTCGCCAAACTTCGCGGCGACCCGCTCCCCGTCCTCCACCCCGCGTCTTCCACCCCGCTCTAACTTAAGTACGCGGGGCTAGCCGGTCCCGGTGGAGCGTCTGGGCGTGGTGCCGCACGACGGACTCGAGCGCGCCGAGGACCGAGTCGATGTTGTTCCCCGGCGGCGGCGGCGGCGGCGGCGGCGGCCGCGCGCGCGGCGCGGGCGGCGACGCGGGCGGCGGCGGCGCGGCGCCCCGGGGCGACGGCGGCGCGGCGTCGTCGCGGCCCTTCTTGGGCCTGGGATCGTCCTTGCGCAGGTTGCGGACGACGACCGCGGCGGCGTCGGCGCCGATCTCGCGGTCGAGCATCCACCGGGGCAGGATCGCCGGCGGCTGGCGCCAGGGCAGCTCGCTCCAGGCCTCCATGATCTCCGTGTCGCGGTCCTCCTCGGCCGCGCGGCGCGCGTCGCCGTCGTCGCCGCGCGGGAGCTCGGGCGCCGCGGGCGCGCGGCGCCGCGAGCCCGTCCGCGCGGCGTGGCGGCGGTCGTCGGCGGCCTTCTGGCGGCGCCGGGCCGCGGCGCGGACCTCGCGCGGGTCCGGCGAGCCCGGCGCGGACGCGGGCGTCGCGGACTCGGTCGGCGGGCTCGGCCCGAGCGCGCGGCGCGAGTCGGCGCCGCGGCCGCGGCCGCCGCGGCGCTTCGCCCGCCGCTGCTGCTCGTCGGTGCGCAGGCCCAGCGTCGCGACGCGCACCTCGTCGGCGAAGGCCGCCGTCGCCGCGAGGTCCGCGCGCTTGCCCACGGGGCCGGCCGTCCGCGCGGACCGCGGCGCCTTCGGGCTCCGCTTGCGCTCCTCGAGGCGCAGGTGGTTCCCCGCGTAGGTGTTGTTCCGCGGGTCGCTGGGCTTGAAGTGCGTCAGCGCCGGCGCCGGCGGCGCCGTCGCCCCCCCCGCGCCCGCGAGGAGCCGCGGCGCCGCGTCGTCCGCGTCCGGCCCGACGCCCAGCCGCGACAGGTTCACGAGGACGGACCGCAGCTGCGCCTTGGCCGTCTTCGCCGCGTCGGGCGTGGCGCAGAGCGGGTTCCCGCGGACGTCGAGCGACGACAGCTTCGGGTTCACGGAGAGCGCGCGGAGCGCCGCGCAGCTCGCGACCGCGTTGCCCCGGAGGTCGAGCGTCGCCAGCCTCGCGAGGGCGCAGAGGCCGTCGGCGCCGCGGAGCCGGTTCCAGCCCAGGTTCAGGGTCGTGAGCGCGTGGAGCGCCTCGAGGCCCGACGGCGACCCCTCGAGGCCGTTGGACGACAGGTCGAGCGTCGCCAGGCGCCGGAGCCTCCCGAGGCCCGCCGCCGCCGCGACGGACGGGCCGAGGCGGTTCCTCCCGAGGTCGAGGAGCGTGAGCCGCGCCTCGAGGGGCACGACGGACCGCGGCGCCGCCGCCGCGAGCGCCGACGACTCCCAGCTCGGCTCGTCCCACGCGTCCTCCGACGGCGGCGCCTCGCTCGCGGCGCCGTCGGCCGCGTCGTCCTGCCAGCCCATCATCATCATGTCCATGAGGCCGTTGCTCGCGCCGCGGCCGCCGCTCCCGCCGTGGATCTCGCCGTAGCCCTTCTCCGGCTCCGCGGGCGCCTCGCGCGCCCTCCGCCGCCGCCCGCCGCCGCCGCGGCCCGACGGCGGGCCCCGCGAGCTCGCCGTCGCCGCCGCGTCGGGCACGACCACGGGCAGCACGAAGCGCGCGCAGTCGTTGCCGCCGCAGAGCAGCTCCAGGGCCCGCGGCGGACCGACGCCCGGCGCGTAGCCCTCGTCGCGCTCGTCCTCCTCCTGCAGCACCTTGCTCAGGCGCGCCAGGGCCTCGCCGAGGCTCTTCGACGAGAGCCGCCGGTCCGACAGGTCCATGACGTAGGCGTCGTCGTCGCCCATGGCTGCGGCGCCGCGGGCAGCGGCAGCGAGCGCTGCTGCACTGCCGCCGACGACGAGAGCTGCCACAGGCAACCGTGCGATCACTGATTCGAAGTCAAATGCGGCGGGACTTCGTGATTGGTGGACGCCGTCGCACATCGACGACGTCCTTCACGGTCAAGGACGCGTCCAGCGCCGCCAACCGCCTCACGCACGCGTCCGCGCCAACGCGCACATGCCACGAGCAACAACCACAACAGAAGCCGCCGTTACCTCGCGCGCGTGTGCGGGTCGTAGTTCTCGTCGCTGCGGTCCTGCCAGAAGACGAAGGCGTAGAAGGTCGGGATGTGGAGGAACAGCCAGGCGCCGTACATGACGACGAGGTCGAAGGCGATGGCGCTGCGCTTGGGCCAGACGAAGCCCTGGTCCGCGGCGTAGTCGTCCCCGAGGAGCATGCGCTGGCACGCGTCGTACGGGTAGTGGAAGACGGACCTGGGGGGGAACGAGCGTTTTTTCTTCGTGGGACGACGGAAAGCACGGGAGACGCGGCGGAGGCGCACGTGTACTGGAGCCAGGTCGCGTCCGGGTTCATGGACGTGAGGTCCACCGGGAAGCCCGACGTGATGAAGCCCTGGATGAAGACGCCCATGGCGATGATGAAGGCCGCGTTGAGGTTGCGCGTGATGGCCACGGAGAGCATGAGGATCTGGGAGAAGAGGAGGCTCAGGCCGTTGCAGATCGCGCCGAAGTAGACCGCGAACTTCAGCTGGCAGAGGATCTGGAGGCCGAAGGGCCGCACGGCGACGCTCCAGCACCGCACGAAGCCCATGAGCTGGGCGTACAGGATGCCGCAGCTCAGGGAACAGTTCGTGATGATGAAGGTCTCCACGGACATGTACGCGCAGTACCACGCGGCCGTGCTGTAGAGCCCGGCCTTCCGCTCCTTGAGGAAGAAGGTGCGGTCGTACTGGATGCAGCCGATGGGCACGTAGGCCATGAGCGCCGTGAAGACGAGCCAGCTGAAGAGGCCGCCGTAGTAGCTCGTCAGGTCCTCGCCGACGTAGTCGCCGACGTAGCCGCCCTTGATGGACCGCCGGTGCTGGTTGCCGAAGACGCCCGCGGAGATGACGGCGACGATGTTCATGAGCACGTTCCGCGCCAACGCGTTGCCCTTGTTCCGCGTGTGGCTCTCCATCGTGCGCTTCGCGAGCACGCGGTACTGGCGGACGAAGTCCGACGCGGCCTCGGCCGAGTCCGACAGGCCCGCCGTGGACAGGAAGCGCCGCAGGCCCCGCTTCTTGTCGTCCGACGCCCGGCGCGCGACGTCGAAGGCCTCCGGGTCGGAGCCCATGACGTTGAGGACGAGCGCGCCGAGCTTCGCGCGGTGCACGGCGTCGAAGGCCTGCGCGGCCGCGCGGACGTCGTCCTCGTCGAGCATCGTGTTCTTGCCGAAGAGCGCCGGGTCCTTGTAGTGGTTGATGGACACGAGGTCGACGCAGGTGTCCGCCGGGTTGCCCCCCGCGACGACGTCCTCGAGCAGGTAGCCGAGCGACTTGAACCAGGGCACGCAGCCGTCCGCGGGCCCGACGTAGCACGCGTGGCCCTCGCTCAACAAACAAACCTGGTCGAACATCTGCCAGACGGCGAGGCGCGGGTGGTGCTCCGTGCAGATGATGCCCAGGTGCGCGTTCGCCGCGAGGTCGTGCATGACCTGCATGACCTGTGTGGAAATCAAATCTTCAACCCGACTTCAATGTGCGCGTAATCGAACGGTTTGGACCAGACTCTTTCGCCGTGCTTCGAGAACTCGACGAGAGCAATCGATCCGTCCAAAAATCAGCCGAATCGACTTCGATTTGATTGAGATAGAGAGTTCTGAAGTTTGGTGGGGACCCCCCAAACCAGTGGTTGATTTCCACACAGTGCATGACGCTCAGCGCGCTCGACGCGTCGAGGCCGCTCGTCGGCTCGTCGGCGAAGATGAGCGCGGGCTTCGACACGAGGCCGCAGCCCAGGGACAGGCGCCGCCGCTGGCCGTCGCTCAGGCCCCGCACGTTCAGCCCGCCGCTGAGCTCGCCGCCGACGAGGACCGCGGCCTTGTCCGCGAGCCCCAGCTCCTCGAGCAGCAGCATGCACAGGTCGTTCAAGTCGTCGTCGTTCATGGCGCCGCTCCGCACGCGCATGCGCGCCACGAAGAACAGGCTCTCCAGCGTCTCCAGGTGCGGCAGGAACAGGTCCTCGTCCGCGACGTAACTCGACATCGCCTTCATGGCCTCGCTGTCCAACGGCGTGCCGTCGACGGCCAGCGAGCCGGACACGCGCGCGTCGGAGGCGAGGCGCCCGCCCAAACACTGGAGCAGCGTCGTCTTGCCCGAGCCCGCGGGGCCGAGGAGCGCCGTGAACGTGCCGCGCTGCACGGACCCCTGCGCGCCCGCGACCGCGGCCTTCTCCACGCCGCCGTAGCGGATGCTGAGCTTCGTCCAGAGGAGGAGCGGCGTCAGCTTCGACGCCTTGACCTGCTCGCTCGCGCGCTTGAGCACGGACGTCTGCGGGATGCCCGCGAAGCTCGCGCGCCGCACGCCCCGCCGCGACGCCATGTGGGCCTCGGCGCGCGCCTGCTGCTCCTCGTCCAAGTTCTTGAACTTGTCGTCCATGAGGCCCTGGCCCTTGACGAAGGCCATGGTCGCGGGCGGCTCGGCGGGGCTGCCGAGGGCCGCGACACGAGGGGCGGGGCAGCCGAATCCCTCGACGTCACGGCAATTCCAATCGGGGAATCATGAAGATCGTGAGGCTGGACGTGTTTTCGGCGAGCTGTGGCACGACTATCACGACTGAGCACATCCCGGACTATGGCAGCGCGCACGATGTGCAAGCGCTTACGCAAACGAGCGCTCCTGGGCACAAACAGCTGGGCATGCGCACCAACACCTGGGCATGCGCACAAACACCTGGGCATGCGCACCATGGGCACAGACGCAAAGACGCAGGGCGATTGGAGCGCCATGGGCGACAGCTACGCCGCGAACCGCGGCACCTTTCAGGCGGCCTACGCCCACGCGTTCTGGGATAGGATGCGGGCGCGGCCGAACGTCGCCGCGGCCGTCGACTGCGCAGAGCGCGTCGTCGACGTCGGCTGCGGCACGGGCGAATTCACCGCGGCGCTGGCGGAGCTCCTGCCGGACGCGGCCGTCGAGGGCGTCGACATCTCGCCGGACATGGTCGCGCGTGCGCGGCGGTCGTTCCCGCGCGTCGCCTTCGCCGCCGCGGACCTCGCGGCGAACGGCGACGCGCCGAGCGGGCCCTTCGACGTCGCCACCTCGACGATGATGCTCCACTGGCCGGGCCCCGACGCCGCGCTCCTCGCCGGCGTCGCGGCGCTCCTGGCGCCCGGCGGCCTCTTCCTCGGCGGCCTCCACGGCGCCGGGTCCTGCCAGGAGGGCGTCGACGCGCTCGAGGCCGCCGCGGCGAATCGGGGCCGCGCGCTTGCGCTCGACGCCCTGCCGACGATGTTCCGGCGCGACGGGCCGGACGCGTGGCGGGCCGCGCTGGACGCCGCGGGCTTCGAGGCCGTCGACGTGCGCGAAGAAGTCATCGTCACGCCCTACTCTGACGTGGACGAAGCGCGGCGGCGCCTCGCGGCCGCGTGGCCGCCGATCCTCGCGGGCCGCGTCGACGACGACGAGATCGCCGCGCTCGTCGACGACGCGGCGGCGCTCCTGGTGAATCGCGGCGGCGCCATGACGAGCCACGTCCTCGAGTTCGACGCGCGCGCGCCTTCGTAACATGTTTGCTGTGCCTCTGCGCGGCCACACCCTGGGAGCCCCAAGAGAGAACCCCCGGCGGGCTTTGAAAGATACGGGTTCAAGCTCTAGGATCCCTAATCCATATATATATGCGTGAGTTGTGCGCGGGGGTTCCCCCGCCGTACGAAAATTAAATGGCTGTCGTCGCGCAAGCGGTGCAGAGGGAAGCATTGACACGGGAATGAGTGGCTCAGCACGCGCGAGCGCGCCCGAAGGGCGCGCTCTCGCCGCGCCGCAGGCAAGCCCCCCGGCAGGGGCAAGTAAGCCGTAGGCGTCTTGTATAATATATTATTAAACCTCATCCGGCAGCTCTTTTGGTTGAATTTGAACGCTTGAAGTTAAAGAGCAGCGACGGCTGATGGACAATGATTAAGACTCAGTTGTACTTCCAAATCCTTGGGTTGTATTCGGATGAAACGAGGGCGGCTAGGCCCTCTCGCAGCCAACGCCTCGCCATAGACAGAAAGGATGGGCGGCGGAGCGGGTAAGCACGCAAAGGAGCCGGCGCAGGATGTCGGCGACGACGAGGTCTTCTCGCCGATCGTGCCGGAGGAGAAGCGCGAGGACCAGGGCCAGGGCATGAGCGCGCACCAGTCGGTGCGTTTCGAATTCCGAGCCCACCGGCCGCCCCGGACCGGCCGGCGCCGGCTCCCCCGCCGCTGCCCCCGCTCGACGGTCCGCGCGCCCGCGCAGGAAAAACTGAAACGAAAGAGCATGCAAATCAACGAGGCCTACGCAAAAGCCGACCAGAAGGAGATGTCGATACACGTCGCCTCGCTGCGCGCGTGTCCCGCGGCCAAGGTGCCGGCGCCCCAGGTGAAGAAGGCGCGGCGGCCCGCGTCCGCGCCCACGTGTTATGTGCCGCGAGAGCCGCGCCGCGCGCCGGCGATGTCCGAAAACCCGACCGCGCGCGCGCAGGAGGGCTACAGCGCGCCGGTGAAGCACGAGGGCTGGCTGAGCTGGGCGACGCCGAGCGGCCAGATCAAGCGCTACTACCAGCTCGTGGGCTGCTACCTCATCCGCTTCAAGGACGAGAAGAGCGCCAAGGGCACGGCCATCTTCCCGACGTACGTCCACGGCGTCGAGTCGATCGTCGAGGGCGCGCAGGAGGTGTCCAAGGAGTTCATCGCCGACATGGAGAACCGGGGGTCGAGCTTCTACCTCTACACGCCGACGCGGACCATGACGCTCTACGCGGGCAACATCAAGGAGCAGAAGGCGTGGATCGCGGCGGTGAACGACGCGCTCAAGGAGGCGTACACGGCGGACGAGATCGCGAAGAAGGAGGCGTCCCAGGCGGCCATGCGGCCCCTGCTGCTGGACCAGGCCCAGATCCAGTTCAAGCGCATGAACGTCATCCTGTCGAATTTGCGCGCCGCGGGCTTCGTCGCGGAGCAGGAGAAGATCAAGTCGAAGAAGAAGGGCTACCTCGAGTTCCAGCGCGTCGAGTACGAGGACGAGCAGTTCTACGCGGACCTGCTCACGGACGAGAAGCCGGAGGAGGCCCAGTTCAGCAAGATGTACTGCGTGCTCCGGTCGGACCAGACCATCGTCTACGGCGCGACGGAGCACGAGGCCAAGTCCGACCCCGAGGGCATCATCTCGCTGAACCACCTCCACGTCGTCCTCGACACGGAGACGATCGAGAAGACGGGCAAGATGATCTTCTCGCTGGTGACGCCCCTGCGCACCTTCGTCATGAAGGCCGCGCACCAGGTCGCCCTCGAGGAGTGGCTCCGCGCGATCATCAAGGTCACGGCGAAGCTCGACGACCAGGGCAACACGCTCGCGGCGCTCAACGAGCTCTCGGCCATCGAGTCCGTCACGGACATCGACCTCCACATGGTCCTCGACGACGACGCGGGCATCGAGGCCTACGAGCACTACATCGAGGAGGCCGCGGCCGACAAGCCGGGCATCCAGACCATCTTCAACTGCTGGAAGCTCGCGAAGGAGTACAAGGACGCGCACGAGTACGAGGACGACGGGCCGGGCCACCAGGACCACATGAAGAAGCTCGAGCAGCAGATGATCTCCAAGTACCTCGGCGGCGACGGGTTGCCCGAGGACGTGTCCAAGGAGCCCCAGGAGGACTTCAAGAAGGCCGTGTCCGACGGCCAGCCGCCGCCCATGGGCGCGCTCCGCGCCGTCTGCCTCACGAAGCTCATGGAGAAGACCTACGAGGGCTTCAAGGAGACGCCCGCCTACAAGGCCTACGTCGACGAGGCCAAGGGCGGCGGCTCCGCGGAGCCCATCCCGCAGGACGCGCAGCGCCTCCTCATCTACACGCCCAACGACCCCTCCGCGCTCAAGAAGCGCCTCCAGAAGATGACCCACGCCAAGACCAAGCTCAAGAGCGTCGGCAAGAAGGACGACGGCGAGAAGATCTACGAGGCCTGGACCTTTCTGAAATCCAAGGAGGGCAAGGACAAGTCGACGACGATCGGCCGCGACCACAAGCAGGACGTCGCCGTCGACGACGACAAGAAGGTGAGCCGCGAGCACGCGCGCATCGACTGCACGGGCGACGGCAAGGTCATCTTCATGGACCTCGGCTCCAGCCACGGGTCCAAGGTGAACGGCAAGTCCGTCGCGGGCCGCGTGTCGCTCGCCGTCGGCGACGTCATCAAGGTCGGCAAGACGAAGATCCTCTTCACCATCATCCCCGCGGGCGCCGAGGACCCGATCCGCTAGGCGGCGCGCCCCGCCGCAGTCCCCCCCTCTTCCCCCCGACAGGTCGCGTGCCGGGTCCAAGTTCGCGGCCCCCGCGTCCGCCGCGGTCGACCCGCGCCCCGCCGCGCCGCCTCTCGCGCGCGGCGGCGGCGTCGGGCCGCCGCGCCCGCCCAACCTGCCGTGCGGGTAACGCCGGCAGTTATCGAGACACCGAGGCGGGGGCCGGGGGGCTCTCGAGAGGACGTCGTCAGTACGTCGTCCGCTCGGAGACGCGGTACACGCCTCGCGGCCGACATCGACTGCATCGTCAAGTGCATCGTCCGCATTGCCGCCGGCGAGCGTAAGTCTGGGGCCCCTGAATTTGCATGTTCCGCCGCGCCGTCGTCGCGCTCTCGGCCATCGTCGGGATGCGCGGCGCCGTCGCGCTCGTCGCGAGAGCGAGCGTCACGCGCGCGCGCGCGCGCGCGGCGACGCGCCTCGCGTCGGCGGCGCCGCGGAACCTGGAGGCGCTCGAGGCGGAGCTCGCGAAGCACGACGACCTCTACTACAACGCCGCGGCGCCGACGCTGAGCGACGGCGAGTACGACGCCCTCGCCGCGCGCGTCGACGCGCTGCGCGCCGCGCACGCGCTCGCGCCGCGCGCCGTCGGCGCGAAGCGGAGCGGCAACTTCCGCGCGGCGGCGCCCCACGCGGCGCGCATGCTGTCCCTCGACGCCATCAAGGTCGGCGGCGACGGCGTCGAGGCCGCCGTCGCCAAGTGGCTGAAGAAGGCCCAGCGCGCCTGCAAGGGCGAGCCCCTCGGCGCCATCGTCTGCGAGCCGAAGCTCGACGGCCTGTCCGTCTCGCTCCGCTACGAGGACGGCGCGCTCGTCCAGGCGGCGACGCGCGGCGACGGCGTCCAGGGCGACGACGTCACGGCGAACGCGCGGGCCGTCGCGGGCGTCGTCGAGTCCCTGGGCGCGCGCGGCGCGGTGGAGATCCGCGGCGAGGTCTGCGTCGCGGTTCAAACGTTCCGCGAACTGGCGGGCGCGGACGCCGCGAACCCGCGCAACTACGCCGCCGGGTCCCTGCGCCAGAGCGACGCCGAGGAGACGCGCCGGCGCCGCCTGCGCTTCGTCGCCCACGACGCCGTCGGCGACGCGTTGGGAAACGCGTCGTTCGCCGAGAAGCGGGCAGCGCTCGACGCCTGGGGCTTCGAGGCCGCGCTGCCCGCGCGCGTCGTCGCCGTCGACGGCGACGACGTCGAGGCCTGCGCGCCGGCGCTCGCGGCCTACCACGCCGAGCTCGGCGCGCGGCGGCCGGCCGTGGACTCGCCGGCCGCCGACGAGCTCCGCTACGAGATCGACGGCGTCGTCTTCAAGGTCGACGCGGCCGCGGCGGCGCGGGCCGCGGGGTCCACGGCGCGCGCGCCGCGGTCGCGCGTGGCGCTCAAGTTCGAGGCCGAGGTCCTCGCGGCGACGACGCTCGAGGGCGTCGAGATCGGCGTCGGGAAACGCGGCGTGCTCACGCCCGTCGCCAAGGTCGCGCCCGTCGCCGTGGGGGGCGTCGTCGTGCGGTCGGCGACGCTGCACAACTTCGCCATGCTCCGCAGTTGCCTCGGCGGCGCGGACGTCGGCGACGCGGTGCTCGTGAAGCGCGCGGGCGACGTCATCCCGCAGATCCGGCCCGCGGGCGGCGGGTCCAGGGTCTGGGCGCCGCCGGCGACCTGCCCGTGCTGCGGCGCGCGCACGGTCGTCGACGAGGACGCGGGCCGGGCGACGTGCCCCAACGGCGTGGGCTGCGACGACCAGGCCGCGGGGCGGCTCGCGCACTTCGTGGGGCGCGGCGCGATCGACCTCGCGTCGGGCGCGCTGGGGAAGAAGAAGCTGCGCCAGCTCGTGCGCGAGGGCGTCGCGCGGTCGCCCGCGGACCTCTTCGACCTGCTCGACGACCGGGACGCGGCGGCCCGGCGCCTCGAGGCGCTCGACGGCTGGGCGTCCACGTCCGCGGCGAAGCTCCTCGACGCGCTCGAGGCCCGCGCGGCGCGGCCGCTGCCCCTCGCGGACTTTGTGTACGCGCTCGGCGCGAACCGCGTCGGCAAGGCGACGGCGAAGCGCGTCGCGGCCCTCGCGGGGACCTGGGGCGCGCTCTGGGCCGCGCTCGACGCGGACGACGCGACGGCCGCGGGCGCGGACCTCCGCGCGGCGCTCGCGGACGCGCGCGGCGTCGGCGACGCGGCCCTCGCGGGCCTCCGCGAGCTCGCCGCGGACGCCGACGACCGCGACGTCGCCGCGCGCGCGGCCGCGCGGCTCGCGATCGCCCCCGACGACGGCTAGGGGTTAGGACAGGGGCTTCTGGCGCACGCGGACGTTGAAGTTGAAGTGGGTCCGGAGGCCGCCGAACCAGTCCGCCGTGTTGCCGAGGCGGAGCACGGTCGGCAGCGGGTAGGGGCTCGGCGTGACGACGAGCTCGTCGCCGCGCTTGAGCTTGACGCGGTTGCGGCCGTCGAAGGTCGCCCAGGCGTCGGCGCGCGCGTCGCCGTCGACGACGAACTTGAGCTCCGCCGAGTCGGGGAAGACCATGGGCCGGAAGGAGAGGCTGTGGGGGCAAACGGGCGTGAAGACCATCGCGTTCGCCGACGGGTGGACCATGGGCCCGCCCGCGGACAGCGAGTAGGCCGTCGACCCCGTCGGCGTCGCGACGATGATGCCGTCGGCCTGGGCCGTCGTCAGGTGCTCGTCGTTGCAGAAGCACTCGACCGCGGACAGGAACTCGGAGTCGCCGCGGTTCACGACGACCTCGTTCAGCGCCTCGTGCCGCGCCAGGACGTCGCCCGAGCCGCCGTCGAAGACCGTGCACCGCAGGCGCATGCGCAGGGACACGGGCCAGGGCGGCGGCGGCCGCGACGCGCCGCGCTCGAGCCCCGCGGCCAGGCCCATCGCGTTCTCGACGCCCCCGTCTGCGCTCTCGTCGTACGCGTCGAAGGGCGCGAGGAACCCCAGGCTCCCCGCGGAGAAGGCGATGACGGGTGGCGGCGCCGTGCGCTGGAAGAGCGCGTTCGCGTAGAGCAGCAGCCCGTCGCCGCCGATCGTCGCGAGGAAGTCCGGCCGCCGCTCGCCGTCGTCCTCCGACTCCCAGAGCGCCGCGGCGATGCCCCGGTCCGCGAGCCGCGCCCGGGCCCGGCTGTAGAGCGGCTCGGCCAGGAGGATGTCGATGCCCAGGCCCGCGATCACGCGCGCGACCTCGGACGCGACCCGGAGCTCCGCGTCGTCCATCGACTTCTTCGCGAGCACGAGCGCGCGCCGCGGGGGCCGGCTCCAGGTCACCTTGTAGGTCGCCGCGGCCGTGCAGCGCAGATACGTCTCGTCGGCGACGTCGCAGGGCTCGCGCCCCTCGCCCATGGTCCGCACGAAGCACCAGGCGTCGCTCGTCGGCGCCTCCTTGCCGTACGTCCACCCGGGCGTCGACGACGACTGCGTCGACGACAGTTTCGTCAGGCATCGTCGCGGTGGCGGTGCGAGGCCGAGGGCCAGGTGCAGGCACAGCGCCGCGAGCTGCGGTGCGCGCCGGCCGCGCGACGACGCCATGTTGGGAGGCAGCTCCAGATTGCCACTGCACGATGGGCGAAGTTTGCCGGTGCGATGCGTGTTGACGCCGACCTTGCATCTCTGAATTCTCGCGGTCTGGGGCTGCTCGCAGAGCGTCTCTACGTCTCCGCCGTCTTGCACCTTGCATCTCTGAGTTCTCGCGTCTGGGGCTGCCTCGCGGAGCGTCTCCGTACCCCGAGATCTTCGCAATATGCTGCGCATCCTTGGGCTCGTCGTCGCCGTGGAGGCGGCCCTGGAGACCGCGACGCTGCCCACGTCCATCCCACGACCATCGACGAAGAACGTGTCCAACGTCTTCCACAACAACACCAGCCCGGACAACATCACTATAACCGCCGACAGCAGATCGCTGCTCGTCGACGGCCGCCGCTGGTTTCCAGTCGACGGCGAGCTGCACTTCACGCGCGTGCCGCGATTCATGTGGCGCGAGGAGCTCCGGCGCGTCAAGGCGGGCGGCTTGGATCAGGTCGCGACGTACGTCTTTTGGAACCACCACGAGGAGCTCCGCGGCGACTACGATTTCTCCGGGCGGCGCGACCTGCGCGCGTTCCTCGAGACCGCGCGCGACGTCGGCCTGAAGGTGCTCCTGCGGCTCGGGCCGTGGTCCCACGGCGAGGCGAAGAACGGAGGGCACCCCGACTGGGTCCTGGGCGACGACGAGCCCTGCGGCGCGAAGCTCCGGTCCTTGGACGCGCGATACATGGCCTGCGTCGATGCGTGGTTCGGGCGCCTCGGCGAGGAGCTGGCGGGTCTCTTCTGGCGGGACGGCGGCCCCGTCTGGGCCGTCCAGCTCGACAACGAGATCGGCGACTGGAAGTACCTGCTGGGTCTCCGCGAGATCGCGCTGTCGTACGACATCGCGCCCGCGGCCTTCACGAAGACGGGCTGGCCGAACCCGGACGCCGGGTATCCGGCACGCTACCCCATGCTTCCCTTCTTCGGGGGCTACGCGGACGCTTCCTGGACGAACGACATGAAGGATCAGATCCAAGCGAACACGTTCGAGTTCCACAAAGGCCCGATGATGCTCCTCGGAGAAGGCCCGGATCCGACGTGCCCGGGATGTTATCCGCTCGTGCCGGGCTTCCCGTGGCTGGACGTGGAGATGGGCGGCGGCATGAACAGCGACTACAACCACAGAACGCACTTGGAACCCCTGGACATGGAAGCCCTCGCGCTCTGCACGGTCGGCGGCGGCTCCAACGGCGTCGGCTATTACATGTACCACGGCGGCAATAATCCCCACTCCAAGCAACACGACGTCGCGGGCGACGCGCTCCGGGACGCGCCGAACGTGACGCTCCAGGAATCCGCGTGGTCCGCGGCGGGCACGCAGAATCCCACGACGTCTTCGTCCTACGACTACTTCGCGCCGCTCGGCGAGTTCGGCCAGCCCCGCGGCCACTACCACGGGCTCAAGGCCTTGCATTTGATGCTCCGCGCCTGGGGCGACGTGCTCGCGGACGCCGTCCCCGTCCCCGGCGGCGGCGACGACGGGCCGACGGCGCTGCGCTGGGCCGCGCGCGCGTCGCCCGCGGGCACGTTCCTCTTCGTCAACAACTACCAGCGCGGCGCGACGCTCCCGCCCAAGACCGACGTCCGCTTCGCGCTCGAGCGGGGCGACGCGACGCTCGCCGTGCCGTCGAACGGCAGCGCGCCGCTGACGATCGACTCGAACGCGTCCTTCGTCTGGCCCGTCGACGTCGCGCTCCCCGTCGGCCGCATCGCCTGGGCGACGGCGCAGCTGCTGACGCGGACGGACGGCGTCGTCTTCCTCCTCGAGACGCCCGGGTTCTCGGAGGTCGCGCTCGATCTGGGGTCGGCGGCGCTCGACACGACCGCGGCGCGGACCGACGAGGGCGGCGTCGCCGTGCTCCGCGGCGTGAAACCGTCGCTCGCGCCCTTCGCCACGATCCGCGAAAACGGCCGCGAGGTCTCGCTCGTGCTCCTCGCCGCGGAGTACGTGGACCGCGTCTGGACCGACGAGGACGCTTCGCCGCGCCGCGTCTTCGTCTCGTCTCCGGGGACGCTGTTCGTGCTCCCCGACGGCGACCGCGTCGACCTCCGCCTCGACGACGGTAACGCGCGAGCCACCCTCCTCGTCTGCCCGCCGCCGGCCGGGGGGACGGGCGTCTTCGGCGCCGTAGACGAAGTCGACCTGCCCGCGCTCGACCCGCCGCGGCCGGCGGTCCGACTCGTCAAGCCCTTCGCGACGCCCGTGCGATCCATCCCCGTCGTCAAGTCGAGCGGCAAACCCCGCGAGCCGGACTTGGACGACTGGCTCGGGGCCGCGGAATACGAGATCAACGTGACGCTCCCGCCGGGCGCCGAGTGGCGGCTCCGCGTCGACTACGCGGGAGACGCCGCGCGCGTGCTCTTCGAGGACCGTCTGCTGACCGACAACTGGTACACGGGCTACGAAACCTCCGGCGGCCTCGAGGTCGGCCTGAGCTTCCTCGCCGACGAGAACCCGGGGCTCCTCGGCGGCACGACGACGCTTCGTCTCCTCGTCCTGCCGCTCCAGAAGAAGGCCCTCGAAGGCAACGTCTTCCTCGACGAGATCGCGGTCCGCCCGGCGAACGTTAATCTTTAGCTATACGTCCCGTTCACGATGGCCAGCACCGCGTCGCCGTAGCGCGCGGACTTCTTGGGCCCGATGCCGTGGACCGCGAGGAGCGCGGACTCGTTGGCCGGCCGCAGCTGGACGACGTTCTCCAACGTCTTCTGGTTGAGCACCATGAAGGGCCGCTTCCCCAGCGACGCCGCGGTGAGCTTCCGCCAGTCGCGGAGCGCGTCGTAGAGCGCGGCGTCGACGGGATCGGCGAAGTCGGGCGCGTAGGTACCGCCTTCGGGCTTCGACGGGCCGAGGAGGTCGAGGATCTCCGTGTTCTCCGCGGACTTGTTCCGGCCCGCGCCGACGGGCACGACGTCGTGCCGCGCGTTGTGGTCGAGCTGGACGGCGCGCCGGTAGTTCGTCTCGTCGATGGCCTCGCGCATCGCGTCGCTGACGGTCCCGTCGTCCGTGTAGAGCAGCACGCGGCCGTCGACGTGGCGCGCGGCGCGGCCGATGGTCTGGATCAGCGACGTCGCCGACCGCAGGAACCCCTGCTTCTCCGCGCCGACGACGGCGACGAGCGACACCATCGGCAGGTCCAGACCCTCGCGCAGCAGGTTGCATCCCACGAGCGCCTGGAGCTCGCCCGCCTTGAGGCGCCGGAGCGCGTCCAAACGCTTACCGGAGTCGAGGCCGCTGTGCAAATACGTCGCGGCGACGCCGTTCTCCGTGAGCAGGTCCGCGATGCCCTCGGCCGACGCTTTCGTCAGCGTCGTCACGAGCGCGCGGTCGCCCGCGGCCGCGGCCGCGGCGACGCGCGCGAGGAGGTGGTCCTCGAGCCCGCCGGCGGCGGCGGCGTCGACGACGGACACGACGGGGTCGACGACGCCCGTGGGACGCACGATCAGCGACGTCACGGCGTCGTCGCCGCACATGTCGAAGACGTCCGCGTTCGGCGTCGCCGTCGCGAAGACGCACTGGGGGACCTTGGCCCAGAACTCCGCGTCCGTCAGCGGCCGGTTGTCCAGCGCGGACTTGAGGCGGAAGCCGTTCTCGACGAGCGACGTCTTGCGCGCGCGGTCGCCCGCGTGCATGCCGCGGAGCTGGGGCACGGCGACGTGGGCCTCGTCGACGACGAGGAGCCAGTCGTCGTCCGGGAAGAAGTCCACCAGCGTCGCGGGCGCCTCGCCCGCCGCGCGCCGCGACACGTGGCGCGCGTAGTTCTCCATACCCGGGCAGAACCCGCGCCGCCGCATGTCGTCGACGTCGGCTAAGACGCGCTGCTCGAGGCGCCGCGCCTCGCGGAACCGCCCCGCGGCGCGGAACGCCGCGAGGTCGTCGTCGAGTTCCTCGAGCACGGCTTGGGCGACGCGCTCGATCTCCTCGGCCGTCGCCACGTAGTGCGACGCGGGGTACAACACGTACTCGTCGACGGACCTCGCGTCGTCGGCTACGATCGACACGTCGGACACGAGCAGCGCGTCGTCGCCGGCCTCGACGCTGATTTTGAGCGTCGCGGGCTCCGTGACCAGGCCCACGGACAGCGCCGCGCCGTCGTCGGTCCACGCGAAGCCGCCGCGGTCCGCGCCGTCCGCGCCGTAGCGGAGCGCGAGCATCGCGGCCTCGAGCTCGCTTCGACCCGTCCAGGACTGGCCCGGGTGGACGAGCAGCGCCGACGACAGGTACTCCTCGGGCATGCCCAACCCGTAGATGCACGACACCGTCGCGACGACGATCGTGTCGCGCCGCTCGTTTAGGGATCGCGTCGCGTCGTGGCGGAGCGCGTCGATCCGGTCGTTCGTCGCGGAGCGCTTCTCCGAGTACGTGTCGGACGCGAGCTTGTAGCTCTCGGGCCGGTAGTAGTCGAAGTGGGACACGAAGAATTTCACGGCGGCGTCGGGGAAGAACTCGCGGAGCTCCGAATAGAGCTGCGCCGCGAGGACCTTGTTCGGCGCTAAGACGAGAGTCGGTTTGTCCAACTGTTCGATCGCGTGGGCCAAAACGAACGTCTTGCCCGTGCCCGTCGCTCCTTTCAGGACGACGCGGCGCTCGCCGCGGCCGAGGCGGCCGACGAGCGAATCGATGGCGGCCGGCTGGTCGCCCGCCGGCGGGAAGGGCGCGCGCATCGAGAACGATCGCGCGACCGTGGACGCGATGGGCGCGCGAGACTTGGCGATCGGCTCGGCGACGGCCGCCGGCCGCGGCGCCGCGATCTCCGACGGCAGCGCCGGCGCGGACCAGGGCCCCAGCGCGGCGTCGACGTCGCCGGCGACGACGGCGACGAGGAGCGCGTCGAGGTTGCCGCGGTCCGCCGTCGCCAAGCGTAAATCCCTCCTAGACTTCCACCACCGCCGCGCGCGCGCCTCGTCGCCCGCCGCGTCGAGCGACACCGCGGACCGCCGGCCGTCGGCCGCGAGTGCCTCCACGGCCGAGTCGCGGTTGCCCAGGGAGACGGCGACGTCGCGGTTGTCGGCGTCGCCCGATGTCTCCAGCCGCGCCCGGACCGCGGTCGCGACGTCGAAAGGCACGACCGCCGCCAACTCCTCGACGGACGCGGCGCGGAGCCGCGCGCCGCTGGGAAAGGCGGCGCGGAGCCGCGCCTTGTGCCGCGTCGACGCGCCGTCGAGGAGCGACGCGTGTTCGCCGAAGCGCCGCGACCGGCGGTGCGCGAGGAGCGCGGACGCGTGCGCCTCGTCTCGCAGCCGCCGGAGCAGCGTCAGCGTCGGGTCGTGGTCCGCGAGGTTCAACTCGCCGCCGGCGCCGAAGTGCACGGTCTCCTCGCGCTTCGCGAGCGCCAGCGCCCGCACGTCCGCGCCCGACGCCTCGATGACGCGCCGCGCCGCGTTGAGCTGGCCCCGGCCGCCGTCGATGAGCACGCAATCCGGCGGCGGCCGGTCAAGCGCGAGCCGCGCCTCCAGGCTCTCGGCGATGGCCGCGCAGTCGTCGATGGCGCCGGAGCCCAGGCCGTACCAGCGGTACTCGTCCGTCGCGAGGAGGCCGCGGTCCGCGGCCGCGGACGCGCCGACGGTGTGCGCGCCGCAAAAGTGCGACACGTCGAGCGCCTCGATGCGCGCCGGCGGCGCGAAGGCGTCGCCCTCCCAGAAGACGCGCAACCCCTCGAGCGCCTCGACGGTCTCGGCCGCGCGCCACGCGCCCTCGTCGGCCGCCGCGAGCGCCTCCGCGCTCGACGCCGCGGCCGCGGCCGCCGCCGCCGCGGCGTCGGGCAGCGCGAGGCGCGCGGGGCCGCGCGCGTCCAGCGGCCAGGCCTCGATCTTTTGCGTCTGCGGGAAGCCGCGCGACGCGTACCAGCTCGAGAGCACGAGCGTCTCCACCGTGCGCGCGACGCCGCGCAGCCAGCGGTGCGAGACGACGCGGTGGGCGACCACCATTGCAGGACGGGCGCTCTCGCTTGAATGTGCACTGCTTACACGCTGCGGCCTGCCGCGCAGCTCACGAAGACAATGCGCACTGCTACACGCTGCGGACTGCCGCGCAGCTCACGAAGACGGCGCGCATCTTGGCATCGGCGCGGAGGCCAGCTCACGGCACTTCCAAGTGCTTGGCCGGCACGATCCGGCGAAGGTCGGCTACGCAGCCCCGGGCCGAGCATGAGCCATGCGAGGTTGCCTCCTCATCACTGCCGTCGTCGCCGGCGGATCCGGCGAGTGGCATCGGACATCGAATGCGACGCTCACCGATTCCTACCGGCGCTGCCCTTTTATGATGGGACGCTACATGGAAACTCCAAGCCACGACAGCAACTGCCGCGACGACGCGTTCCCAATGTACACCGGCAACGGCGTCTCGCTCGCGCCGCTCGAGATCCTCTGGTCGCCGTCGGCCGTCCTCCCGAAGCTGCCCTGGAAGCCGGGGAAGCGCAATTCGAAGCCCGAATTCGAAGCCTAGTTAAGCAACGCGACGCCACCGGCCTCGTCGGCGGTCGCGTCGTCCGGCCGGAACACGTTCGGCGGAATCGCCAGCTGGGGCGTCGTCAGCCGCGCGATGTCCGGGTATTCGGCGGGCATGGTGACGCGGTCGACGAAGTCGCAGATCCTCCGCGCGAGCCGCACGGCGTCCGCGTGGTCCGCGGGGAAGGGCCGGTGGTCCTCGTCGTGCGTCGCGAGCTCCAAGTTCGCCTCGCTGAAGAGCGCGCGGAAGCCGTCGAAGGACGGCCCGACGCGCTCGTCGTTGGTCCCGATCGTCGCGAGGACCGGCGGCGACGCGATGGGCGCCGCGAAGAGCTCGCCGCGGTCGCGCAGCGCCGACGCCCAGCCGAAGTCGCCGCCGCCCATGAGCACGGCCCACCGCACCGGCGGGTCGACGCCGCGCTTCGCGAAGTCGGCGAGCAGCATGGCCGCCAGGTTCGCGCCCTGGCTGAAGCCGACGATGCCCTCGTAGCGCGGCGCCTCGTCCGCGAGGTAGAGGTCGCGGAAGGCGGCGAGGGACGCCGGTAGCCTCACGTAGCTGCCCCGGTCCGGCGCCGGCGGATGCGGATAGAGGTCCTTGCTCGCGTAGGACGACTTCGCCGACGTCGTCTTGTTCACGTAGCTGTAGAACTTGCCGGGGTAGAGCGCTTCGAGCATGGGGTCGCCGACGCACTCGTACATGCCGTCGATGCACTCGAAGTCGAGCGCCAGCCCTTTGCCGATGGCCGACGCGAAGAACGGGCGCAGCTGCATGCGCAGGATCTCCGCGCGCGAGCCCCCGCCGTGGAGGCAGAGCACTCTGCGCGTCGGACCGGCGTCGAAGAGGGCCATGGCCGAGCGCTCCTCGACGTCGCCGGGGATCGGCACCTGCGCCCCGAGGACCACTTCGTGGACGTCGCGCACTTCGACGGCGACGGCTCCGCGCGGGTCGCCGTGCGCGTGCGAGGACGAGCGCGCGCGCTGCGCGGGCTGCCCAGATGCTCCGGGACGATTGGTGGCGTTCATCCTCACTTCAATTGGAATTACCGCCAAAAGAGGTGACATGGCCGCATCCAAACAGGGCATGCCCGCAGAAAACGCGTTTGCAAAAGCTGAGGGCGGCATGGATCCAGCCATGACTGAGGATGCCTGGTCTTGGACCGACGGCCGCGAATGCACTGTCTCCAGCACCGCGGAGCTGCGCGCCGCGCTCGCGCACGCGGCGCGCGACCGGACGACCACCATCCGCCTCGAGGCCGGGGCCTACGAGCTCGACGCCGTGCTGGAGGTCGAGCGCGGCGCGCGGGTCTGCCTGGAGGGGCCCGAGGAATTGCCGCCCGCCCCGGAGACGGCGGACCACCGCCTCGCCGTCGGCGCCGTCGCCTGCGGCCTCGCGGGCTGGCGCGCGGCGCCGCGCGCCGTCGCCGTCGCGGCGTCGTGCGCCGTCGCCGCGGAGCTCGCGCGGTGGTGGCGGCGCCGCGGCGCCGCGGCGCCGCGGCGGTCGCCGGCGCCGGCGGCGCGGCTCGAGGACTCGTGGAGCGGCGCGCTCCGCGTCGCCGGCGGCGGCACGCGCGTGTCCCTGCGCCGGGTCGAGGTCCGCGGCTGCGGCGGCGACGCCGTCACCGTCGACGGCGCCGCGCTGCGCGCGGCGCGCTGCGTCATCTCCTGCCAGCGGGGCCACGGCGTCGTCGTCGCCGGCGGCGGGTCGCTGGCGCTCGCGGACTGCGTCGTGCGCAACTGCGCGTCGTCGGGCGCAGGGCAGGAAAAGGGTGATTCAACGTCGCTTCAACGTGAGTGTTCCGCGCGCGCGCGTTCCGGAAAAATCATCCACGCTTCGAGACCGTTCCGAGAGATGATCGCTCGTCCAAAAATCAGCCGAAACGAGCGGAAATCGACCGAGAAAGGAGCCTTTGAAGTTGGGAATTTCGCACCCTTTTCCTGCCCAGGTCGGGCGTCGTCGTCACGTCGGGAACCGCCGCCGCGCGCGAGACGCGCTTCGCGCGCTGCCGGCGCTTCGGCTTCGAGGCCCAGGGCGGCGGCCGCGTGCGCGTGGAGGACTGCGCCTTTGCCGACGGCGGCGTCTGCGTGAGCGACCGCGAGGGCTGGGCGGCGGGCGCGGACGTCCGCGTCGACCGGTGCGTCGTCGAGGGCCAGGCCGCGTGCCTGCCCGGCATCTCGGTCATCGGCGACCGCGTGCCCGACGTCGCCGTGCGCGACACGACGGTGCGCGGCGTCAACGGCACGGGCGTCTACTGCCTCGGCGGCCGCGTGTCGCTCGAAAACTGCGACGTCCGCGCCGCGCTCATGGCCGGCGTCGAGGCGCTCCGGTCCTCGAGGGTCGAGATCCGCGCGTCGCGGGTCTGCCGGAACCGGGGCGGCGGCGTCGTCGCCCACGCGGGCGCGACCTGCGCCGCCTTTGGCACGACCATCGCGGAGAACCGCGGCGGCGGCAACGTCGGCTGCTTCGACGCCGCGACGTGCCGGCTCGAGGACTGCGACGTCGCCGGCGCCGTCGGCGCCATGAGCGTGCACTGCTCGCGCGCGACCATGACGCTGAAGAACACGCGCGTGGGCGCGCGCGACCCCGGCGGCCCCGGCGTCGTCGTCTCCGGCGCCGACAGCCGGACGAACCGCGCGAAGATGAAGCTCGTCAAGGCGCCGCCGTCGCGGCTCTACGTCTCCGGCGGCGTCTTGAACAGCCTCATGGTCGCCATGCACCCGCGGCAGGACCCCGGCGACGCGCCCTGGGCCGCGCTCTTCGCGGAGCGGACGCGGCTCCTCGCGCCGCTGGCGCTCCGCGCGCCGACGGCGGGCTCGCTCGACGGCGTCGCGTGCGGCGCGGACGAGGTCGCGCCGGGCCTGGGCCTCGGCGTCGCCGACGACGCGTCGATCGGCTTCTGGCGGGGCGCCACGCGCCTCCCCTGGTCCCGGGAGCGGCTCCTCCACGTCCTCGCGCGCGACTCCGCGCTGTCGCGACTGCATCCGCAGGTGCTCCGGTCCATCGCCGACTTCGCGAGCTAGGCGCGCGCGTTAGGCGGCCTAGCAGGCGGCGAGGGCCGTCTGGATGACGCCGGCGACGAAGGACGCGTCGCCGTCGCCCTCGACCTTGATCGTGAGGTCGGCCTTGGGGCTCGCCTTGTCGATGACGCACTGGACGAGGTAGAGCGCGCTCCGCGTGTCGCGCGCGTAGACGAAGAACTTGACTTGGTCCGGGAGCTCGCCGCTGGCCATGGTGTGGACGTGGAGCGACGCGAGCATGGCGTCGACCATGTCCGTGCCCTGCGGCGGGCCGTTCGTCGGGATCGTCGCCGGCGTCTCGGCCGCGATCGCGCCCCACTTGGCCTGGAAGTCCTCGCCGGAGACGGAGCCCGCGGCCTCGACGAGGGCCCGCGGCGCGGGCGCCGCCGGGGCGCCGCCGCCGCCGCCGCCGAGGAGGTCGCCGAGGAGGTCGACCTCGGGCGCGGGCGGCGCCGCCGCCGCCGGCGCGTCGCCGCCGCCGCCGCCGAGGAGGTCGCCGCCGCCGTCGTCGGCCGCCGGCGGCGCCGCCGGCGGGGGCGCGCCGGCGCCGCGCTTGGGCAGGTCGTCCTTGGCGCGCTTGTTCGGCGCGATGAACTGGTCGGGCGTCTCGCCGTACAGCACCGCGAGCGTGTTGAAGCCCTCGTCGACGAGGCGGTCGAGGAGCGCGCAGTTGTCCTCGGCGAAGGCGCCGACGACGACGCCGCAGGGGTCGCGGCCGTTGACGACCTTCTGGGCCGTCGCCACGTCGCGGCGCAGGAGCCGGAAGTAGAAGAGCGCCTTGTCGCGCGCGTCGCTGCTGCTCGCGTCCTCGAGCGCCGCGTCGAGGAGGCGCCCGAGCATGTTCTGCATCTCCGGCGGGCGCTTGAAGAAGAGGCGCGTCGCCGCCGTCAGCAGGGCGAGCTTGACGTCCACGGACGTCTCGGAGCCGTAGGCGTCGATCAGGGGCTCGAGCATGTACGGCGCGTCCGTGATCTCCTCGCCCCACTGGCCGACGATGAAGAGGGCCGCCGCGCGGCCCGCGGGGTTCGCCGACCCGTCGAGGTCCTTGAGGTAGCGCGCGAGCGACGGCAGGACGTCGCCGCGGCGCTCCGGGTAGCGGCGGAGCACGTCCTTGGCGACGAGCAGGGCCTCCGCCTTCACGTAGGCGACGTCGAGCTCGAGGAACTCGACGAGGGCGCGCGTCGCCGCCTCGGCCTTGGTCCGGAGCCGCCCGGCGATGGCGCCGATGGCGCGGATCGCCGCCTTGGCCAGATCCGCGTCGACGTCGGCCGCGTACTCCTTGAGCTCGGCCATGACGTCGTCCGCGGACTGGTCGCTCGCGAGCTCGGCGAGGAGGTGGACCTTGACGTGCTTCACGGGGCTCGGCTCGTCGTAGCGGATGTAGAAGTTGCGGTAGTCCGGCTGGAACGCCTCGCGGCAGCGGAAGACGAGGAGCTCCGCGTGCTTGAGCAGGCAGTAGAGGAGCTCGAAGTCGCCGCCGCCGTGGGCGCCGCCGGCCATCAGGGTGAGGAGGGGCGTCTTCAGGCGCTCGTAGACCTGGGCGTGGAGCTCGGGCAGGTGCTTCGTCAGGTTCACGAAGCAGCCGATGCACTCGAGGACGACGCCGCTGTTCGACGTCCGCAACACGGGGTCGAGGACGTTCATGACCTGGAAGGTCTCCTCGTCGCTCGCCGGCTCGTAGCGCGCCACGAGCTTGAGCACGCTGCAGAGCCCCCACTCGTTGAAGTCGTTGAGGCGGCCCAACAAATGGTGCACGATGGCCGTGTTGATCGCGATGCCGCCCTCGTCGAGCATGATCTCGTTGAGCACGACGATGCAGTTCGCGACGACCGTGCCGTCGCCGTCGCGCAGCATGTCGTAGAGCACGTCCACCAAATCGCCGCCGCGCACGGACTCCGGGTCCATGTGGTAGACCTTGAGGATGCCCATGACGCCCGTCTTCCGCACGTAGCTGTGCGCGTCGCTCAGCGACGCGCGGAGCGGCCCCTGGATGTACTCGAGCACCGTCGGCAACCGCAGGGAGCACAGGGACCGCAGCGCGAGGCCGCGCACCATGGGGTCGTCGTTGCTGCAGTCGCGCTGCAGCGTGTTGATGCACATGAGGCCCATCTCCGGTTTTTCGTGCGCGTACGTACATAAATAATGGTAGACCATCTTCTTCACGACGAGGTCCCGCGTCTCGATGGACATGACCATCTCCGTGAAGAGCCGCGACACGTCGATGCCCAACGTCATGTACGCGATGACCTTCTTGATGACGTCGCGCTTCCTTTTCGGGTCGCGCTCGACGCCGACGTTCCGGAGCAGCGTCTTCAGCTCGTTGACCTCGCCCTTCTTGCTGTCGGGCTGGAAGTAGGAGCTCCCCTGGCCCGCGGCGCTCGGCGGGCCGGGCGCCGGCGCGCTCCGGTTCATCATCCTCGCGGCGTCGTGGGTGTTTGGAAACTGTGGCAATTCCCGCGCGCGCGTCGCGCCGGCGGAACCTCGCGCGCTTTCGGCGCTCCGGCGCCCGCGGGGACGGCGACGGCGTCGAGAGCTCCGGTCGCGGCCGAAGAGCGGCCTCGCCGCCGCGCGCCGGTGATCGACGCGACGCGCGCCTCGCACAGTCGACGACAGGCCGCCAAGCCAGCGAGATCTCGAGGAGCCGCAGGCTGATCTTGCGTGCACCTCTGGCTGCCCCGTACAGTCCCATGGTGAGGTGGCTCGCTTCGCCTCGCCACTGAGCCGGCCGCGGCGCGGCCGTCCCAGACTCTCTCATTCCGGAGCGCGACGCCCAACTTGTTAAGGTCAAAACTTCGCGGATTTGCCTCGGGACGGCCATTAAAGTCTCCCAACGTGGTCGGAGTCGAAGGATGTGAGCTTCCTGCGTCGAAAACGAAGGCATTGAACGAAAGATCGAAGGATTCGTCGCACGATATCTCGATCTCCTGCCCCCCCGGCCGCCTAGGACCCTGCGCGGGGCCAAAGAGGCGCGGGCCGGGTCCGCAAAGGGTCTCGTCGGGCGTCTCTACCGCTCTCTTCCTGGATGTCCGCGGGACCGCGCGCGAGGGATCGCGCCGTCGTCGCGTTATCGTCTCGCCGCCGTCACCGCGCGGCTCCGCGATGGCTCGGCCGAGTCACGGGCTACGACGGCCCCGGCGACTCCTCCACTATCCCGACGGACTCGAGGGCCGCAGCCTCGGGCCTCGGGGCCGCGCCCCGCGGCGCGCGGGGCGCCCGAGCGGGTCCTCGCGGCGGCGCTCGAAGCGGTTCGGCCGGACCGCGCGGTAGATCGATCTCCGGCGCTGTCGCGGACGCGCGGAGACGAAGCGCTCGTCGTGGCTCGCGGCCTGGGCCCGCGGCCGCGAGGTCGTCTACGCCGCGCCCGTCGCGGCGCCCGAGCGGGTCCTCGCGGCGGCGCTCGGACCCGGTTCGGCCGGACCGCGCGGTCGATCGATCTCCGGCGCTGTCGCGGACGCGCGGAGACGAAGCGCTCGTCGTGGCTCGCGGCCTGGGCCGCGGCCGCGAGGTCGTCTACGCCGCGCCCGTCGCGGCGCCCGGGGACGAACGCGCGTTGGTAAAGGCGCGGGCTCCCAGAGCTCCGTGTGCTCAAACTGCTGCTCGGGCGCGCGGCTTGGAGCTGCTCGATCTTGAGAGTTATTTCATCTATTTCGCGGAGCTGCGGCAGGTGCAGCGCCGGCGCCGGCGCCGCGTCGTCGGGCGGAGGCCCCTCGTCGTCGGACTGCGCCGCGGGCTGCTCGTCGAGCTCCATCATGTCCGAGACTACATCATGATGCGCATATTATGCGCATTCCGTCCAGGGAGCTCGTGGGGAGATCCCTCGATCGATTTACACATAGATGCAAACCTTTTTTGTTTTGTTGAAGCTCTCTTGACTCGACACCCGTCCCCCTCTGCTTCCGCGCGGCCGCCTCGGCAAGGCCGCGTCGCCGTGCGACGCGTCGGTGACGCCCCCACAGCGCCGCGCCTCGGAAAGAGCGAGCATCTTAGCGCGCGCGCGCCGCGCGCCACCGCGCGATCAGAGGCGTCGGTCGTCGCCTGGTGGTGCCGGCGACGCGCTCCGAGACGCCGTCGCCGGCGACGTCGCACCGCTGGCGCCTCGCGGCGCCGGCGACGCGCTCCGGGACACCGTCGGCGGCGACGTGCTCCACGAAGCCCTCGTCGTCGTTTCGGCCCGACGGCGCCGGCGCGCGGCCGCTCGGACAGTTCGAAGTCGTCGCTAGCCAAATCACTCCGAGGCGCGCCCGGTACCCCCTCGATGAGGACGCACCACGCGCTGGGCCGCCGCGCTGCCAAGATCGCCGGAGAAGGTCGATTCTCGAAGACGCTCCGTTTAGCCGACGACGATCGTCGGACGGCGTCTCGCCGACGCCGGCGCCGACGCTGGCGAAAATGCCTCGAGGCACGCCGATGGACCCCCTGAAGGGCCTGACAGCGTCTCAAGCCTTGGCGCTGCGAGACGAGCGCGGCAGAGCCCGCAGCCAGGGGCACGAGCTCGAGGCGACGAAGAAAGCCGTCGCGTATCTTCGCCCTCGGCGTCGCGAGAGAGCCGCAACTGCTCGGCCCGACTCAGGGTAGCATGGGGCCTCGCCCAACGGGCCGGGGTGGCTGGAACGTGCCGGGGGGCGCTTAGCAAGTGGGTCGTAATGAGAGGTGCTGGGGCTGTGGCGAGAGCCACAGCACCGGACGCTCGCCGAAGGTGACGGCAGGCTCGGCTTGGGGCTGTGCCCCGTAGACCTCTGTGGCGACGTCGACATCGATGGCGAAGTGGACGGGCTGCCCGCGCGCGTGAGGCGGCCAGTAGAGACGCCATGCCATCCATCCGGCTCCTCGCCGCCGCGCTCGCGTCGGCGCGCGCGAATTACACGCTGCCGCGGCTGCATCCGCGCGCGCCCCTGAGCTACCGGGAGCAGGAGCTGCGCTACGCCCAGCACCACATGTACGTCGACGTGAAGCACAAGTTGCTCTACTGCGCCGTGCCCAAGGTGGCGTGCACGGAGTTCATGCGCCTCTTCTTCCGACTAAAGGGCGAGAACCAGAACCAGCGCTGGAAGGGCGACCCGCACTTTCGGCAGGACAAGCCGCTCTTTAACAAGATCATGAACGTGACGACGGCCACCGCGCTGATGAACGACCCGACCTGGACGAAGTTCGCCTTCTGGCGCGACCCGGCGGAGCGGCTCCTGAGCGCCTACCTCGACAAGTTCGCGAACGGGAAGCGCTACTCGACGGGGTCGTACGCGGTGCGCATCTTCAAGGACAAGCACATGAACTTCAGCGGCTTCGTGGACCGCATCGCGTCGAAGAACCGCGTGCGGGGCAAGCCCGACGGGCTGCACCCGAACACGAACCCCCACTGGCGGCCCCAGCGCTTCATGTGCAACATGGAGAAGTTCCTACCGGCGTACAACTTCGTGGGCTCCTTCGACCACCTCGGGGACCACGCGGAGAAGCTCCTGCGGGCGTTGGGCCTCTGGGAGGCCTACGGCGCGGCGGGCTGGACGAAAGCGCTGAAGCGCACGGTCGTCGACAAGATCAAGGGCGCCGTCGGCGGCGGCGACGACGGCGGCCGCATGTTCCAGAAGAACGCCGCGTGGCACCAGACGACGAAGATGAAGCCCGAGAACCACGACCTCTACACGCCGGAGCTCCTGGCCAAGGTGCGCCGCGCCTACGCCATGGACTACGAGATGTTCGACGCCGTCGGCTTCGGCGGCGACGAGCCCGCGTCCGGCGCCAACTGGGGCGACGCCAAGTACGCGGGCCGCCAGACCATGGGCGGCTTCGACCGCGCCTTCAAGGACGACCACGGCGTCCGCGCGTGGAGCTAACGAGGATTAAAGCTCGCTCGCGCGGACCTACGCGAAGACGGGCCCGCTCCAGGCCCACTTCGCCGCCGCGGGCGCGGGGGCGGCCGGCGCCGGCGCCGCGGGCGCGCCGAGCGCGACGCCAAAGTCGGCGTAGGACGTGACGCCCGAGGCGTCGCAGGCCGCGCGCCACTCGGCGGCCGTCGGCGGCGCGCCGGCCGGGGCCGGCGCGGGCGCGCTGGCCTCGAGGAGGTCGCCGTCGCCGTCCCTGAAGCCGACGTCCGCGGGCTCGGAGAGGAGCGCGCCACAGGCCAGGGCGCTGAGGCGCACGTTCCCCTCCGCCTCCGCGGCGATGGCCCCGAGGAACGCGGCTTCGCTCCGCAGGATCTTCGCGGGCTCGCGGACGTCCGGCGTGACGACGCAGTGGAGCACGTCGCGCGTGCCGCCGCGGTCGAGGACGAGCGCGAGGCAGGCGCCGTGGAGCTCGTCGTTGCGCAGCGAGCCCACGACCTTGGCGCAGCTCAGGTCGCCGTCGAGCTTCGCGACCGCCTCGGGCCCGGCCTGGCTCGCCGCCGCGAACGTCCGCATGTCCGCGTACGCGCGGTCGAAGGCCTTCTTCACGAACATGATGCGCTGCACGGACCGGTCCGGGTGCGTGTGCTGCGGCAGGAACCCGAGCGCGATCTGGTTCTCGACCTCCATCTTCCACTTGGTGATGAGCAGGGCGGCCTGCGCCGGCATCAGCGACCGCAGCTCGTAGTCCGCCGTCGTCGCCGCACCGGCGCAGCGCGCCGGGCCGCGCGCGACGCGCTGCGTGGGAGCGACGAGGGCATGGGCCGCGCAGATCACTGCCGCGAGAGCTGCGATGGCTGTGCGCGCAAGCATGTTGCCGGTGCGACGCGACGATGGGCGCGGCGCGTGGCGTCTCGATCGCGACGGCCGTGTCGATTGCGTCAGCACGGACAGGGCCGGCACCCGCGTCCGGGGGTCGCCTTCTGCGACGCCCCAATCCCGCCGATTCGGCCGGCGGACTCGTAGGGTAGTCCGTGGGGGCTGCTGGGGTCATGCGCCGAGGTGGCCGGCTCGGAATCGAGGCCATGGCGTCGCCGCGCGCGCGCGAATGCGAGCTTCCCATTGGTCGATTCGAACCGAGCTGATGTTGCACTCGACTCGGCGCGGCGCCAAGGGGATATAAATCTAGATGGGGTGGCAGGCGAAACGCGAGGTCCTCGTACTACTCGGGGCCGCCGCTAGCGTTTTCTTTCTTCTTCCACGCCGCAGCGCGCGGGCTGAGTGCAACGATGGCGGGTCGCGCGGCGCGGCGCGGCTGCGGAACCCTTCGACGGGGCGGGGCAGCGAATTTGGGCTGCTGAGATCATTGCGTTGGCTCGCGAGCGCGACGGTTGTTCGGCGGCGGGACGAGAGGGCGGCGGTGTGAGTCGAGTGTGCGATATTTTCTTGTCCTTAGAGGTTGGAGGCGCCCTATGGGTACCCGCGGGGGGCTCGAAACCTTCAGGACACACTTTTCCCACGATCTCAGAGCCTGCGCAGCCCCGGCGCCGACGGTGTCGCAACACAGTTTCTCGGGCAGCGTGCGGGCATTCGAGGTCGAGAACTTTTCGTGTCCTGAGATGCTCGAGCCCATCCATAGGTACCAACGAAGGGCTCTGCAGCGCCAGCAGACGGTCCACGACCATCATCATCGCG